GAGTAGTTGTAAAGGTCAAATGAGATTAAAGGCATAAAAAGTCTTCATAGGGCCGGCCCGGTGGCGCACTACTACAGTGCGCCGCTTGGGAGCGCGGTGGCGCTCCCGCCGAGGGTTCAGATCCCACATACAGACCAGTTCCCGCTCACTGGCTGAGCGAGGTGCGGGCGCGACACCAAGGGTTGCGATCCCGTGGCCGGTCCCGGTCCGGTACGGGCGCAACACTGAGGGTTGCGATCCGTTGCCGGACACGAAAAAAGACAAAAAATAAATAAATAAATAAATAAATAAATAATAATAATAAAAAAGTCTTCATAAACTCTAAAAAACTACATACATACTATTATTTGCATTGTTCCCTATTTTGATAGAAAAAGAGAGTGAAGAGAAAAAATAACATACATGGGTGGGGGGAATGCTGGTTTTTCTTTTGTTTTGGTTTTTGGTTTCTTTTCAAAGCAGGCTGAAAACCCTTACAAAGAAAATTCAGACTTTATCATTTTACCTGGAATCTTACTGTCAATTGAACTGTGATAACAGAATCTGCACCACAAATTATTTTGTCACTTTGCAAAGAATATAGACATAACTATACATGTGTAACTTATACGGATTTGGAAGTTAATAAAAATCTAACGGCTGATATCTTTTTTAAAAGTTTAGTTCTCAGGCTGGCCATTTAGGTCAGTTTGTTAGAGCACGGTGGTGATAACACCAAGGTCCAAGGTTTGATCCCTGCACCAGCCAGCTGCAAACAAAATAAATAAATAAATAAAAGCTTAGTTCTCATAAGAATCATTGACCACTATACTAGATCACTATAATTAAAATCTTCTTGCAACAGCCTTCCTGTACCTTCTACCGTATCATTTTCAACATGAGGGGCCTACATCCTTCACTTTGCAGAGATTAAAACATGAACTATAGATCCAAAAGAAAAAAATAAATCAGATCACTTAAAATGGTGAGTTTGATTTGAGAAAAATTTTATTATTCAAAACTTCTTAATTTGAGGTAAATTTTTAATAGAATTTTCAGAAAATAAGTGACAGAAGGAAATTGAAGTGAAATAATTCAGCTGTTGAAGGGTATGTCAGATACTAAAAAGACAAGTAAGTATTCAACCCTAGATTACTAGTCACAAAACATCAGCTCACCAAAAAAGTCCAATAGCAGAACTCAGAAAAGTAACATAGCACTCACTACTTTCATACCAAAAATGGCCCTATCATTTTTACTCCTTCTAAATTACATTCACAAAAACCACTTTTGGCAAGGCAAATTATTATTGTAGCTTACCCACATACTAACAATGAAAAAAGTACCATTTTGTCTAGAGTGAAAAATCACAGACTGATAAACCATTTCTATAACATACGTACATTTTTACTGATTAACTACATACAATGTCTGACTGACATTGAAACCTACAGGTAACTGTCAGACCTAACTTTCTTATATTAAATTATGTGCTAATACGTGAATAATGCTAACTCAAGACAGCAATTTGTATATTTGTTCTAGGATCTAGATTTTTCATGTGAATGTCAAACGATATGTCCACTGAGAAACTTGTGAATCTGATTCATTTATTCATTCAATTAAGAATCTACCACCTTGGGCCAGCCCGGTGGCACACTGGAGAGTGCGCCGCTTGGGAGTACAGTGGCGCTCCTGCCAAGGGTTCGGATCCCATGTGGAGACCAGTTCCCGCTCACTGGCTGAGCGCGGTGCGGCGCAACACCGAGGGTTGCGATCCCATTGCCAGTCCCCGGTACGGGTGCGACACCGAGGGTTGTGATCCCGTTTCCGGTCAGTAAAAAAAGACAAAAAGGAAAAAAAATAATAATAATCTACCACCTTTCCAAGCAGTGGTTCTCAGCTAGGAATAATCCCCACCCTTTCCCAGGGGATTTAGCAGTGTCTGGATACATTTTTGGTGATAACAACTGAGGGGGAGAATGGGGGAGCTACCAGGATCTAGTGGATAGAGGCCAGGGATGCTGCTAAACATCCCACAATGCACAGGACAGCCTCCACAACAAAAAATCATCCAGCCCAAAATGTCAATACTGCCAACGCTCAGAAACCCTGATCTATAGAAAAATTTTTAAATACCCATCTGTCTAAAAAACAGTACTTACTTCACTTTTGTTTCCTACATTTACTCATTCCATTCTTTTCATACTAGTCTTTGGCAACAAACTTATCCTATCCCCATCCTTTCAATCAGCTTCTAACTTCCAAACTTGTCAACAGATCATTATCATTCCCATTAGCCACGTTCAAAACCTTGGTGTCATCTTTGACTCATCCCTATTTTTAATAATAGCAGTAGTAGTAATGGCAGCAGCTAACATATATTTAGCTTTTACTATGTGCCAGGCACTATATAGTGCTTTGAATATATTAACTCACTTAATACTAGGTACTACTCTGATCACCATTTTAGAATGGGGAATCCAAGGCACAAAAATGTTAAAAAAAAAATTTGTCCAAGACCACACAGCTAATAAGCAGCCAAGCCAAGTTTCAAATCCAGGCAAACTGGCTCTAGAGTTCATGCCCTTAAGTACTCCAAAGTCATCTCTCATCTTCCATCTACCATATCGAATCACGAAGTTCTTCTTTAAGTTCCATTAGGCCAGGGACTCTATGCTCATAGCAACATCCCCAAAACCCAGTACATAACTAGTGCTCAAAAAAACTTTTGTTTGTTGAATGAATTTAATGTCCCTTGAACTTATCCCTCCTCTCTATTTTTACTGCCTTCACTCAAGGCCAGCCTTTCAGCATTTCATACTGGGGTTCTGACATATTCTATAAACTAGCCAATCAGGCAAACTGATATAAACTTCACTGCCAGATTTTCACTAACTCAGTCCCATCCAAACTATTCAAAGTTTTCTTCCTACTGTTTCTTAGTTAGAATCATAAAATCTTAAAACCAGAACGTATCTTAGAGATCATCCAATCCAACCTTCTTATATTATAAAGAAACCCAAAGATGGTGACTGAATCATCTAGCCAGGTAGAGCCAGGACCAATTTGACTCTTGAGATTTTTGCTCTGTGACTTTTTTTCCCAATTTTTGCTCTGGATTTTTTTTTTCCAGACTCCTGACAGATGTCTTGTCACCATCCCACCAATAAATTATATCTATTTCCATTTTTCCTGCTCAAGTTGTTTCTCCTGCCCAGCCTGCTTTCCTGTTCCTGCTCAACAGATCCAAATCTTATCTGTCCTTTCAAAATCTCTTCCTATTCCATTCTTCATGACTTCCTCCTTCTCAGAAAATCTTATGTCCTGAATAAGGTACTAGAGGAAAAGAATAACTGTCGTCAAGTTTAATGCATAGTAACACTTCCCACAAAGCAAAGCTACTTGAATGATTTCTTCCCTGAAAACGAGTAATCCATTCTTTCCTTCTATGTTTTAGGAAGTGATTTCAATAAAGACTAACTCATATGGCACCTTCATAAAATGTTCATATACCTTGAACAGATGCTCAAGCACATCTTTAACAGGCATGTGAAGCTTGAATGGCCCCAAATAACCTATATGTCTTCCACTAAGAAACAACTCAGATTATTCACCAAATCCAAACCCAGAACTCTCTGACACAAATCACGTAGTAGCCACAGATCCTTGGTTTCATCTCTTTCTTAGCATGCTACCATGTATAACTTCCTCCAAACTCCATTCCAAATAGTTCACACTTTTCCTTCCTCCCCTTCCCTAAATTGTACAGTATAGAACACCCTGCCTCATTTATCCTTTATTATTTTCTACATGCATCGTCAGTGAAACTCCAGTTTGCTTTGTCTTATCTAATTTCAACTACTTAGTCCTTTCTATAGAAATCACGCTGATATCCTCAGCCCCTCTCAGATCTTAGGGCTAATTTTGTTTTTTCCCCTTTTCTATTCTTCCTTCTTCTAAAAAAGTGGTCTCAACAGTAGCACAAGTACACCTCTGGGAAGGTGCAAAAGAATCCACTGGGCTGCAGGAAAAGAAAAAAGGTTAGAACTTTTATTATACTTATTTTTCACTTCAACCTTTCTTAAATTCTTTTTCTGTGTATGTTTATAAAGTACATAACATTAGTACAGTAGTACATGTATATAATTAATAAGGGTACAGACATAATGAGAATATGTGCTCAAAATTTTTACAGATAAGAATGTGTGACAAAAGCATTCGGAGACAACTCTTCTAAAAATACATAGATAACGAGACCAAATAGGTTCCAGACTATATACAAGATATATGCATGTATATATGTACATGCATACACACACGCACAGAATACAAAGAAATACTTCTGTTCATATCCATACCAAAGTCCTAACCATGACCCCCAACTTCTAGCTCCTGCCAGCCATCTCAGAATTGTGTGCCCTACTCAAAAGCACAGAACAGAGGCTTTGGCAAAGCCCTTCAATTCTAGTTTGAAAAAAATAAACACAAAAAATGTCAAAAGGAACGGTATTTCAAGGCACTGTTCAGTTCACTATCCCGACACTGCTCATCGCCTGACTTATATACCTTACACACCACAATCTCCTGAGATTCAGTCCCTATTTCCCAACCCCTTGGGGCACAATTGACGTTCGCTTCGGTACCAACCCGTTTGTACTCCCACCTCTGGGACTGAGCTCATACCTCCCTTCATCCTTCCCTCCCCTGAGGATACCATCCTCTGTCCTCCTCCATTTGCACAGTCCTGTCCCAGGGTTGAGGACAGTCCATCCACAGTCCCTAAGACCACTTCTCTTTCCTTCTCCGCCCCCGGGAGCTGCCAGCCAGGCTGGAGACGGGAGGGGGGAGGGGTGTGACTCGCCTCCCGTGACTGGCCCAGATGGCAGCCGATTCCGCCCCCACTCTCAGGCACCCCTTCACCCCTATACCCCTTAGGGCTGCCTGTCCGCCTCCCACCCCGCCCCGACCCCACCCCCGGCCTCCCCCACGCCCTCGCGCCAGCTCCCGGATACACTCACCATGCTGGGTGAAGATATTGAAGCCGGTGTCTGTAGTACGTCCCGCCGGGTCTCGCCTGCGGCCGGCGGGCCTGGCTGCACTACTGCCCCGGATTCCGCGGGGCTGAGGCTGTTGGAGCCCCGGAGCCTCCCCGACGCGGCCCCCCTGCTGCCCCATCCCTGTGCTCGTGTACTCCCGCGCACCCGCCGACCCCTGGTCACATTCCTCCTCGGCTCCGGCCTCGAACTCCTGGCGCTGCTCCGGCCTCTTCTTCCCAGCCCAGGCGCCGGCCCTGAGCGGCCTGGCCGCTGGCGGCTCCACACCCGGACTCCTCAGAGTAGACGCCGCGCTGCCTCTCGCCGACTCACAGATTCTGCTTCTCCCTCCCCCTCCGGCGGCCCCGCGCCCCCAACGCTACCGCTGCCGCTGCCGCCGCCGCCATCTTTAAACCACCGAGCACTGGAAGAGCGTGGGACAGAGCGTCCCGCCCCCCCCCGCCCGACCAGTCACCGCCGCTACTCAGAGGGAGGGTTTCCCGGAGGCCCCGCCCCGCGCCCCCGCCTCCTCACAGGGTGGGTCCCCAGTGCCCACCTCGTTTGCACGTCTGCAGCCGCGCCAGGTCTTTCTACTCTCTATCCATTCACCGCGCTGAATCCGCCTTAGCCGATCCCTTCTCACGTTCTGCGCTACTCGCTACCGCCTTTTGGGGTTGGTCCGTCTCCGGCCTTCCCTGTCCCACCTCCACCTGTCAAATCAGTCACGTGCGCAGCTCAGTTGCAGGGACAGTTGGGGCAGAGAAGCACAAGGCCTTTGGTCTTTGCCATCTAGTTGAGGACCCCTAAAATGCCCAGAAGGATCCCTTTAAACACCCTTTTCGGCAGCAGGCCTAGAGTCAAAATTAAAATCGTATTAAATTCACACGAAGGGAGTAAAATGCTACATTATCATTTCATTTTAATTTTTCGAAATTATTTAATGATGTTAAATTGCACTGGCCTGGCTTGTGTGCACTCTAGAGTCTTATTGTAGCCCCATTCCTCATATTGTATTACCATGAATTTTTTCTGGAACTCCTTTACCATCTATCCACATGTGTGTTTCTGTTTCCCTTAAGATCCTTGACAGTAAATTTAATCTTCCCACTGGCAGGCTTTATACACTGAGCCCATGGTCACAAAGGAGAAAAAATATATCTTTGACCTGTTTCTGGGTCAGAACTTACTCATCTTTAGCTTATTGTCTAAAGAGAGTGAATTAGGCAGAAGAGAAGTGTTCTTTATTCACTCACAGACACACACACGCGTATACACACACACACACACACAATTCACCACTCACCCCCAACCCCACCCTCGTGCATTTTTTTTTTTTTTTCCCTTTGGCAGCTGGCTGGTAAGGGATCTAAACTCATGACCTTGGTGTTATCAACGCTGAACCAAAGGAGCTAACTGGCCAGCCCCCATTATCCTCTTGCTATTCCTTTGGCTTCCCTATTTGCTTTATAAAAAGTATCAGTTGTTGGAGGTACCACAGTGAAATTCGCTTTAAAGTAGAGAGGATGAGAGCCAATGCAAAGGAACAAAACAACCAGTGAGAAGGTAGGGTTGAAGGAAGAAGTGGATGTAGCTCTTTACATGGAACCAGGCTGACCTTCAATGAACCATCCCCTGACGTAGATATTCACTATTATAAGAGCGCTATGAAATTATTCCATTGCCATCCAGGGTGTGGCCAAAAATAACTGAAATTACCTCCAAAATGGGAACAGAAACACTCTGCTGTGGCACTGAATGGAATATGAATTTTCCATTTGGATTAAAGTTTTCCTGTGTTTAAAATACTTTCTGTTCTTTTAATTCTCAAAGTGTTTGCAACTACTGAAAAAAATTCATTCATGAGGGATAAAGACCATCATAGAGGCAGAATTTGGCTTATTGTTTGATTATTATTATCTGAGAGAATTTTGATTTGGGGATAATGGTTTGGTTTCTCTGCTAATTTATGCATTGTATGTAAGAATAGATGAGTACAGTACAGTGCAGTCGTTAAAATCAAGGACTCTGAAGCCAGACTACTTGGGTTCCAAACTGGGCTCTCACACTTATTAGCTATTTGAACTTAGGCAAAGTACTTAACCTTTTTGTGTCTTAGTTCTTCATCTGTAAAATGATGATAACAAATAGTACCTACCTTATAGGGCTATCATGAGAATTAAATTAGTTAATATGTATGAAGTACTTAAAACAGTATTTGGCATATAATGTGTCATATAAGCATATACTATTAGTACAAAAAAGTAATGTTTTCAAAGTTCATCAACTTTTACAAGCCTAACTTCTTCAAGTAGTATATACATATCTCATAGAACAAATTCTACAGGATTTATTTAGGCGAATCTCCTCCTCCTGCCACTCTCCATCTAACTAAATACAAAAACACCACCCAACCAATAAAAACATGCAGAATCGTGTATCACTTTATCAGTCATTCCTACCTGGTTATCACCAGCTACCTGCATGTGAACTATTACATAATACCTTTGGTTTGCATATGAAGATTCCCCTGCCGCTGATGCTTAAAATCCTATCTAGACTAAAACAAATGTACTGTAGGTGGAGACAGGATACATGCATGATCTTGTAAATGTTTTCCACTCTTTCATTTTCAAAGTGAAATGGGAACCGTAAGAAGGGGGGTAGGGTTGGGGCCAAGAGAATAGACTAGAGAGACACCTAGTTGTATATTTCACCTCATTGTAACCAAACCAAAGTGACTTGCCAGAGAATTACATAAGATTTATTACCATAAGTAGTGGTTACTGCCACAGCTGAACATTTAGAACAGTCCCAGGTAGTACCATCTCAAACTGAATTGAAAGCAGCTGGGAAATCCAGGCAGGGGCAGAAACCAGAAAAAGAAAATAGCCTGGATGGGGCATAGTGGTGCAGGGACAGCCTTACCCAAGCACTGGGGAGGAGCTGGCATGAAAGATAGATACATCACCGACACCAGCAAGGAACACTGAGGACACAGATGTTCATCATCCCTATCTTCCCTGTAACAGGAGCAATATCACACCAGAAGCAAGGAGCTTGTGAACAACACCTCGCTAATCCCTGTCTTCACCAGTCTGTATTTCCAGGCTATTGCCATATTTTTACAGTTTTTACAGTGTATTTCATAGCCACCTCTTCTCTACATCTGTATAAACAGTGTTATATAGGACACAGTGTTAGTTCAGGTTCAGGTCATCTCTGGATTTTCCTGCTACTAGCCTTTTCTTTCTACATTCCTCACTGTAAGCACCAAGCAATTTACTAAACAAAAATCATTTCTTTCTCTCATTGTTTTGACTGTGCTCCCCCTCCCCTTCATTATGTACAGAGTTTAAAATTTTCACTAACATTTCAAAGTTATTTTCTAGGATATCCTGGATTATAGTTTCTTAATATTCTTCATCTCCCATTCCTCCAACCACTACCCTTCTTATGGCAGGCATACATGCTTTATCCAACTATCCTCTTTCTGGGATGGCTCCTTTTTAGAAATGACTTTTGCAATAATCATGTTCTCCCCGATATAGCTCCCAAGTGACTTCTTTTACAGTATTCGGGATTCTACTCAGATCTGGATTCCTTCTTAAGAGATTCGCAGCCTTATCAATAGAGACTTAGCAGTTTCTCTGGACTTTACTCAGTCCGCACCTAAAACAACCATAGCTAGTAACAATTCTTTGCCTGTGAAATCCACTTACCTTCCTCTACAACCCCCAAATACGAGTATGTTTAATTTTGACAGGTGGCTCTGTGTCATAGGGAAAGAAATTTAGAGGGGCCGGCCCAGTGCTCCCGCCGAGGGTTCGGATCCCACATACAGACCGGTTCCCGCTCACTGGCTGAGCAAGGTGTGGGCACAGCGCTGAGGGTTGCGATCCCGTTGCCGGTCCCCGGTCCGGTACGGGGGCGACACTGAGGGTTGCGATCCGTTGCCGGACACGAAAAAAGACAAAAAGGGGAAAAAAAAAAAAGAAATTTAGAGATTATCTAGGCTAATCTCCTGGAATCCCCTCTGCAGTAACTCCAGTGAGGGAGTACCTTTTTTTGGAAGGGTTCTAATTATTAAAAAGTTCTTCCTAAAGATAAACTAAACCTTGCCTCCTCGAATGTTCTACTCCTTGAAAATTCATCCCTGGGGGCTGGCCCGGTGGCGCACTGGATAAGTGCGCCGCTTGGGAAGCGCGGCGGCGCTCCCGCCCGAGGGTTTGGATCCCACATACAGACCGGTTCCCACTCACTGGCTGAGCGAGGCACGGGAGCAACACCGAGGGTTGCGATCCCGTTGTCGGTCCCCGGTCCGGTACGGGGGCGACACTGAGGGTTGCGATCCGTTGCCGGACACGGAAAAAGACAAAAGACAAAAAAAAAAAAAAAATTCATCCCTGGTTCTAGTTCTACCCTGTAACTACAGAACAAATTTAACCTTTCTTCTACATGACAGTTCTTCAAATATCTGAGAGCTGTCATGTTTCATCAAATATTCTCTTTTGCTGCATACATGCATATGCTTGTATAGTTATGTTTATCTCCATCTATATTCATCTACATGGGCTGAAAATGCTTATGTAGATAAATCGGAAGAAAAAAGTGTATAGCATTTTTCTTAAGCTGTTTGTGTATGCAGTAGTTTGGATTTTGTTTATGTGTGGTTTTTCTCTGCATTGTTGCATTAAATCTTTAAAGGCCTATAGAGTGCCAAATACAGTTCCATTTATAGATTGACACTGAAAGTTTTTTTGGATAACAATGAGGAGGACGAAGAGGAAAGGAAGGAGGAGGAGGATTCTTATCTGGCTGACATAGACTAAGTCATTCTCTTAGAAGGTAAGGAGATGGATTAAATGACCTCTTGTTCCTTTTAGCCCCAAGAGTCTATGATTCAATATTTCTTTGATTTAAAAACCTTATAAATTATTAAGAGACTATTTCAAACAATTGGCAATGAGCTACATAAATGTTACCACTAGCAATAATATCTATTCATTTTAAATTAATAAATTAGTACTCACTTCCTTTTTAATGGTAATAATGAAATAGCTGACTAAACAATTGATTTAACAAGTAGCCTATCACCAACTACAGTGTAGTGGACATGGGACTGGTTTAGAATTTATGTGAAATGGGGTTGTTTCAATTATCTATTGCTGCATAACAAACCATCCCCCAAATCTAGTGGCTTCAAACGACAGTGATTTATTACTTTGTGCAATTCTATGGATTAGCTGGACAGTTCTGCTGATCTCACCCCAGTTCAGCCATATGACAGCATTCAGCTGGAGGGTCGGCTGGGCTGGAAGGTACAGGATGACCTCACTCA